AATAATGAATCACATAATGGAACATGTTCCAATACTACGATTAAATAATTTATCTCGATGTGGAATCACTTTTGCGAGAAAAACAAGATATATTTAGAAACACTCGATCATTCGCGGAATAGGCAAGTAACGAATAGTATGCTAATCCGAGAACGTTACGGCGTGGCTCTTCGGCGAATCGTTTCGAACTTTTCGAATTGCACCGCGTCTTCCGCGTTGCCTCGTCGGTTAGTGGAAAGCGGTAGTATGTTCTCCCTCTCTTCGGAGAAGTCCGTGAGAAAAACTCACTCCATCGTACTAGTAAGAATGTTTCGCGGAAGTTCGGACGATCGGTGTACTTGCAATGTAAAATAAATCTCGATCCGGCGCGCACCGCAGACTTTGATCCTCATCTCCAATAGGAAAAAAAAAAAGAAAGAAAAAAAGAAAAACACGCCTAATACTCTCATTTCAGAAAGTATGATATCTTTGAAATTTTTTATTGGAGATTTATCGCGGGTTTTCCATCCGTCGTATACATTACAAATCGTATTACGAACTTTCAAGCACGGGATCGCAAAATACTGCGATACTCACTGTATCGTGGATTTTTGGGCTACGGTGTAAATTCGCGAAATACGAGACACGCATGATGACGCGTGGGAAAAAAATTCTGGAATTTTATCGCGCAAAATTGCGCAATAAAATATTGCCAAAGCAAATCGGCAGAAATTTTTGACGCGGCGTGTATTATTTTCCTCCCTTCGCAGCTTTCGTATTTTCACAGGCAGCCGGTTTGCGCGAGTGTGATTTAAACTAAGCTCATTTATGGAATATCGATCTCGATTACGGGACTATAAAACACGTCGTTTGGACAGTTAAGAAGCCATGCGTGCAGCTGCGCGCGGGCATTAGTACGTTCCGGTAGTATCGGACGAGCATTCTAATAGAGTCGACTGTCCTACACGCGCGGGCTGCTGGCAGCGAAGCGATCCTTTCGTCCCGACATCAAATAAAATCGAACGAGGCCATTTGCTGAGCACTCGCCGTTCTCTCTCCCGACGTTGTCCCCGTCTCAAATGAGACGCCCGAATGAAAAACAGCACTCATGGCTTAGTGGCCACTGAAGGAATAACTGTCGACGACGCTTTTGTCTTTTGGGTCACGACCAACCTCGATGATTCGCTTGCACTAAAATCAACCGAAGAGGAACGGAACGAATGCGGTAAAAGGAGGCGAGGAAAGAGGGAAGAAAGAGGGAAAGAGAGACAGAGAGAGAGAGAGAGAGAGAGCGTAGAAACGAAAGGGATCTTAGAGGAGCTCGCGAGCTGACAACACACGCCGAATGCATGCAGCACGGTAATCCCGAAGGGGAACAATTTTATTTGTTCCACCAAGAGCGCATTTCTTTTCCGCCTCTATCCATTTCGAACTCGATTCTCGGATCACCTAGTCAAGCTACTAGTACTATTTCCTCGGCTCGTCTCGTCATCTACACGCGACGCATAAGAATACGCGACGATGCCTTACGTCACTGTATGTCTCGTATATTTTCCGAACGAGAGCAAACGTTACGTGACGTTCGTTCGTATTAATGGCGAGTGTATAATATATACAATATACCGCATTAAAAAACAAAATTTTCACATCGCCCCTGGCTTTGCTGGTAAAGGAAAATTTCTCGATAAGCACAAAGATACAAGCAATGAATGGTCAATGCTGAAATCCTTGGTAATGGCGAGTAATGTGAGATTTTCGCATCTGCATCTGCTCGTTAAGCGAAGTGGAAGGAATAATCGTGACTCGTTAGTCGCTACCGAGATTTCGCGAAGGTCTTTTCCGCTCTCCCCCACCCCTCTCTCTCTCTCTC